CCCCAAAAAAAAATAACCTACTTGTTTAATCCAAAAATAGATTTCTCGGTCAAAGTCAATATCAAGAAGAAATCGGATTACTGATAATCAAAATTTACTTCACTTTCTCAGTAATTCGAAGAATAAGACAAATAATAAGAATAATTGACAAGGAAAGAAAATTCAAAGTAGATTGTGTAGGCATGTAAAATTTAAAATTTCGATGCTACAAATTGAATAAAATAAAAAGAATAATTGCTTATATTGAACAAAAATCATATACCATTACAAATGAGGACTAAGCCCTTATATATGAGTACATAATTATCACGACCCTTACTTAATTTGGGCTTGTTAATGGCATTAAGTGCCTAATTATCCGCAACCATATATAATTGTAACGGAAGCATTTAAGACTGAGGATTTTTCGTAACCATGATTAATATCGACAAATAAGATTCATGCATCTTCCCTCTTTATGGTCTTTTTCCATCCCACTTCTATTTCTTCTTTTTCAGCTAACAAAGTCGGTTCCTTTCCTAGAGAAACTTGAGGGTGTTTCATCTGTGCCTTCTTGAATTCTTTAATTTGTTTAATTGGAAGTTCCATCTGTCACCTTGATAGTAGTCCACGTGTCATGCCTTTTTCCTACCAATACAGATAGTCCCCCTGCTTTGAATATTCTCAATTGAATATTCGAAAAGTGATAAGTATTTAAGGCGGGAATTCCTTGTCGCCGTTTCTCGAGTAATATAATTCCTTTTTTAGAACAGATGTAACATACGTCATGTCCATTTAATGCTCAAGACATGTGTCTCATTATGATTGGTTCTGCGGTTTTTTGCATTTTTAGGGTTAATATGCGGCTGCATCAGTCACGAAGTGACGGTTCCATGATGACATTTCATAATGATTAACCCTGATGACAGTTACTGCCCTCTATAAATATTTCATCATACTTATTTTTAAAAATCTCTCCCTTTTTCCTTGCATTTATCTTCCTAACTTTTCCTTGTATTTCTTTATCTTTTTCCGACATTTCCTTCATTAAAGATGTCTTCTGCAACACCAGACCCACGTAAAGTGGTTATTATTGATGAACTTGCTCCTTCTACTGTCCCTACTAGGAGTAGGAAAGGTGTCAGACTCCGTAGTTTAGGTTAATTATCTACTCATAGTTCTACTCCTCAAATTAGTACTGTCAAACCATCTTCCTCTAGGGCTAAAGCTTCCTTAACTCCTAGAACTCCTCAAATGAACCCATGCGTGAGCCTACTATTTCTGAGATTGTCCCTTAGGAGTTTTCTTTCGTTTCAGACAGCGAGCTATGAAGAACATGTTTCTTCTATAGCATCTCTTAACCCCGTTGAACATTACCCAAGCTTGATTACTCTAGGACATCTTTCTTTGGTTTGACGTAAATGCCACTGAAAATCGAACTTTCCAACATTGTTTTCTTGTGTTAATCAAAGAATCACTTTTTACCATGCTGGTTTTTCTTCTGTTTATACCTATCTTTTTACTTTAGGGTTTAAACCTCACATCGACCCAGTGGTTATTGAGTTATGTCGCTACTTTAATGTTTATCTTAGTCAAATAGGTCCCATCGTGTGGAGGGCAATCGCTTGCCTTCACTACTTGCCGGGTTTAGTTTTCGCCCCTTTTACCTTCCGTCACTTGCTCCACCTTTACTCTCCAAAATTATTTCGTGAAGGTGTTTTCTTCCTCGTGGCTAGAAGTAAAAGGGTTTTGGTCAGCCCCGAGGTTGATCGTGACCATAGCTGGTCTCGATTTGTTACTGCCCCCAATTATCGATCAGTAGGTGATGAAAACATGTTTTTTCCCAAAAAAAATAGAACTTTGCACGTAAGTATTTTTTTTCCCTCTCTTTTCCCTACTTTCCTTGATGTCTTGATTTTCTTTACATGAATGTAATTTTTTTATCAACCGTGGAAGGTTTTGAGGAAATTCCTTACTTCCGTGCTTGGGTAGAAAAAATGTTGACTGTCGTCCCCATGGATAAGAGATCCTGGAAATTTCTTTCACAGAAATTTGGATGGAAAGTGAAGACTCACGGTAACTTTTATCCTCATGGTTTCTTTTCTCTTTACTTGTTTCTTTCTTTTAATGCATATACTTTTTCTCCCCCCTTTTTCATTAGGGTTTTCCTTTTGTGGCATCAGCCCCGCCTCTGTTTCATCTACAAAGCTTTTTGTAAGCTCTGCACAAGAATAAATTTTAAGCGTATCTTCCTCCAAGAGAAAGACTGTTGAAGCCCATGGGTCCGAAGATGAAGAGGATACTGAAGAAGGTTCCTTAGTGAGGAGAACACGAGTCAAAAGGTGTTTGTTTTCTGATGATGAAGCCCATGTCGCACAAGATCCCCCTTTAATTTCAATTCATTTTACTCTTTTTGATGAACCAGAGAGTGTCCATTTGGATATGCCTGATGAAGATGTTAATAATCTTGATAATCCCCCTTCAAGTGTGATGACCCAAAAGGTCATTTCGTAGTTTAGAACCTAATCTAGGGTTCCGAGTCCTTCAAGACCCTCATTTTCTTTCTCCTCGATTTGCGCACGCAGTCTGGGCGCGTTTCCGGAAAGCCCTTATGTGAAAATTTGAGAAAAAATGCTAATTTTGTTTTTAAATTTGAATTTAGGTTGACTTCGGTCAATATTTTGGGTCTGTTCTATGATTTGGGATCGTAAAAAAATATGGGACTTGGGCGTATGCCCGTAATTGAATTCTGAGGTCCCTAACCCGAGAAATAAATTTTTGAAAGAAATTGTTTAACTGAAAATATAAGAGTTTGTGGAAATTTAACGATGTTTGAATTTGATGGTATCGGGCCCGTATTTTGGTTTTGAGCCCGGTACAAGTTTAATATGGTATTTAAGTTGTGCCTGTAAACTTTGGTAAGAAACAGAATTCATATGACGTGATTCGGGCCCTCGGTTGTGAAAATAAAAACTTTAAGAGTTCTTGAGATTTTTCTTTAATTTTGATGCTAAACTAATAGTTCTAGATATTATTTTGGCGATTTGATCGCACGATTAAGTCTGTATGATATTTTTAGGTTGGTGTGCATCTTTGGTTTGGAGACCCAAGGGCTCGGGTGAGTTTCGAATGGTTTCGGGATGTTTGGACTTAAGAACTTCTGTTGTATTGCTGCTTCTAGTGTCTTATATTTTGTTCTTCGTGTTCGCGATGCAGCTCACGTGAACGCGAAGTACAAGCTGGCTTGGGAAGGGATTTCTTCTACGTGAATGCGAGGCCTTGGTTGCGAACGCGGAGTGCTGGGGGGTTTGCTCTTCGCGAACACGACTGGCCACACGCGACTACGTAGTGTAATGGAGGTGGGCTGGGAATCGATCCTTTCTTTTAAGTGAACGCGTACAGCGGTCTACGAACACGAAGGCTAGGGGGCATACCCTT